ACAGGAAGTATTGTTTTGAACTCATAACCCCTCTGTGGAGGTGCATATCTGCCCCCGTCACTACACTGCAGGAGGGAAGAAGAACACTGATGAAGAGGGGTTGAAAGTGTTTTTAACTTTCTGAAAATACTGCACACAGCCCTGTTCCTTGCACGCATCTGAACCAAGAGATTAGCCTTCCTTGACCTGCGCTGTGGACTGTATTCTGTGAATATAAATATTGGCAGGGCCACTTTGGCTTAACCCCCATATGTATTTAATATATTTATTTAGAGCTGTGTCAATGAGAATATGAATTTTAAGTCCACTATAATTATATTAGCATCATGTAACAGACTGGCAGTAATACTATGCGTTATGTACAGGATTTTGATTTTACAATAAAAAAACAAAAACAAATTTTCATTGCAGTGGATCAATAGATTTAATGAGTTTATTTTCACACTGCAACACAAATAGACCAGGTCTGTTTATGGTGCATAACATAACAGTCAACCTAAATCACCCCATATAGTATAGTATATTTTTATACTGCTATAATATAGACTGTAGTATATTCTTATTTCTTCTTATTATTATTTATTTTCATCTTGCTTGCTAACAGCATGGCCCAATAACATTGGTATTGCGGCCAGGCCTCTAACGAAGTATATGCTGAGGCGGCACTTTACATTAACATTGATGATGTCATTTAACCACACTGAAATAAATGAGCCAGAAGAAACAAAAGGAAGTCACGTTGCTGCTCCGGTTTCCATTTGGACGACGATAAGAGATGCTCTTCATCACAGTGTGGTCTTATGTAGGGAATAAAGTGCCGCGTCAGCAAAAACATATGGACGTCTGTGAACAAAATCTTACCGTAGATGGTGTGGAATAGTTAGAATAGAGTGAACAAAATCTTACTGTAGATGGTGTGGAATAGTTAGAATAGAGTAAGAATAAGTTTAAATTCTGATACATTGTTTGGTCAGGAAACCAAATGGAGATTTTCATTATACAGTATGTAAAAAAAGACTCTAAACTTTTAAATTAAGTTAAATATGTGTTTGATATAAATACTATTCATATGCAGTTAGAAAAACTCCTACCAAGTTCAGAACAGAGTCAATAATAATATAAAAATACTTGCAGTCCAAATAAAATAAATAAATAAACAACTTCAGGTGGGAATATGATGAAGATTACATAACTGTAACACAAAACTCGTTCCTGTTTTTTCCCTTTGGTTTATGGAGATTTTCCACTCTGGAATCTGACTCTCTCTTCATTCCAACAGGCCGACAACTTGAAGGAAATAATAGGTTCTCTCAAACGTTAACTCACGAGTTAAAAAATAACCTGCAGGGAGAGTTACCATAGGAACGCAGCTCGTTACGACGATGGAGCACATTTTAATCTTTAACCACAACAAAAAGTCTTCCTCGTTAGAATACCGAGACGTTTCCCTAAAAGCTTTGTTGTTGCCAATGAGTAAGATCAGAAAAACGCCAGAGTTATTCAGAGGCAGCGGGGACAAATGAAGGAATGAAGTTGTTCCACAGCTGAAGGGTTTAATACCAGGTGACAGACAAGCCACCGATGGATCTATGATGACGAGAGTTTGATTAATCAGACGGAACTCAAAGGTAAGATTGTTATTCAATTAAAAGCATAGATTCTCGGAACAAGAACAAGAAAACATGGGTTCCACAAGCTCCAAAACCAGGCCTCGTAAAGTAGCCCCATGTAAGAGTCCACAGGAGCAGGAAGGACTCCTGGAACCACAGTGGCCCCCTGCTGGTTCACCTAAGAGCCCGAAGCCGTATCCAAGTTCCCCGAGTGAGAAGAAGACAACTTTACCTCCACTCAGACAGGAAATAAGGCTCTCCTCGCAATCAGGTCAGTGCTAGTCTCCGGTTTAATTTCATTTTACGACCTGCACTTGGAGATAACTTTATTTCTTACCACTCATATAACACACCTGGGGTTTTGATTAAAACACACCGGACGTAACGACGCACGTGTGTGCTGTAAAATCCACGCTTTACAGGAAACCTCACGCCACATCAAGGCAGCAACTCCAGCATCATTCGGTCTCATCCTCCACGCAGACCCCTGCAGGTGAGCGTGTGACTCAATATGGTTGTATTAAGTGTAGCGGACAGCTCTTGTGGCCTGATTGGTTTAAGAAGTTTTTCATCAGTTCAATTTTGTGCGGGGACTGTGGCAGATATGATAACTGTTTCTGACAGGCTGTGATTTCTACCTCAACATCCCATCATTATCTCTCCTCAGGCGCTGCAACCATTGGCCCCACAAATTTGCCATGCAAGCACTGCCAGTCAAATTGCCATGGTAATACAGCAGTAAAAAAGTGACTGGACCCGTATCCCTGTCCCCACGTGGTCCACACACCTGTCTGACCCTGTCTGTTGTAGGTCAGGAGCAGCACAGACGGATCTGTCCAGACTGGAGGTCCTGCAGGAGAACCAGGCATCAGCAGAGTGGACCAGCTACCACATCTGGACACGGTGCATCTATGTTATCAATAATTTAGACGTCACATTTTTATACTGTGGGAAAACTGGAGTGTGAGCAGAGGCCGACACAGAGAGAGACAGAGTGAAGTGTGGTTTCCTCTTGTCCTGGTGGATGTGATTAGTGTCGTAGGAGTGAAAAATGAGGGGCGGGGGCACAGCTATCACAGCCCCAGAAATCTATTCTTGGTGAAAAAAAAAATCAAACATCAAATAGACTCTTCAATAATTTCTTCAAAAGTAGTAGTTTCCAGCTGATCCAGCCTTGGAAACCACATTATTTAGGTTACTAGGTCACAACCCTGGTTTTTTTCAGCTCTTTTTAAGTTTTAATAAATGAAGTCTTCCAGTAATGCCTACATGCAACAGCTTGTCTCAAAGTGTGATTTGTAGCAATATTTACATGCTGATTGTTAAGCTAAGGTTAAGCAGATGTTAAGTGTGATTTGTAGTAATATTTACATGCTAATTGTTAAGCTAAGGTTAAGCAGATGTTACAAACATACGACCCGTGGACCGGAACTGATCCAGAAGGTTTTATTCTTCCCTGATCCCCGTAACAAACCCTAGTCTTTTGTTGCCCTGGGCAAACTTGGTTTGGCAACCTGCAGAGTAATGGTTATTTTCTCAGGGGTTACACCATCACACTGTCCAGCAGATGGCACCCTAGGCTACAATCTACCAGCCTATGTGGAGGGTGGCCTTAAAAACATCTTAATATCTTGCATTTATTTTTATTTTATTTTTTTTTTAGAAAGTTTTTCTGGAAGCTCAGACAGCTCTCAGTCTGCAGACTCAGCAGCATCGAAAAGCTCACCTCCAACAGGCCAGGGAGCAGAGACGACTCAAGGCTGTGCACACCGCGCATGGTAGGAAATCAAAAACAAAAAAAGCTAACTGAGCAAAAGTACAAGTCATTTCAACATTTCACGTCTTCTTTTAGTCGACAGTCCAGACACAGAAGAGACTCACAGACTGAAACTTGTGAGAAGACCCACAGAACGGAACATCTTCTGGGATGAGACTCTGGACCCCAACGGCCTTCTGGAGCCAAACGGTTAAATCTAATCAAGCCTTGCAACAACAAGTGATCACATGGGGAAATATGAGAAAGAAAAAAAATCAAACTTACTGTAGAAATCAAAGCCAATCAATAAGTAACGAATTTCCCAACACACTGGGTCTGGTTTTGGACGACAGAGTGTTGACATACTGAACAGAAGTGAGGCATAAAACACAGAAAGGTAGTGAGTTAGTAGAGAGTTAATAGGGAGTTAGTAGTGTGTGTTGATCTATGTATCTATCCAGAAAAAGAGGAAACTATAATACTATAGTTTCAAGGCTAATATCTGATTTATCCCCAACAGTAATTCTTTTTGTACACTATAAACACAGTAAATCAAATCATTGATGTCGTTTCTTGTAAAAAACCTCAAACAAAATTCATATTTGAAAAAAAAGAAGTTGGTGTTCAGCCAAATGTAATGTCCTAAATTACTGAGTTCATGGTGCCCCCTACTGGTGATAGTAAGGCTCTAAGACTGAGTGAGCTTTCTTTTTGAACTCTTAAGACATTTGAAAAAAAAACAAAAACAAAAAAAAAACAAAACACCGAACTGATCAAAAACATCTTTAGTCGTGCACACAGAGACGTGCTCTCCAACTGTTTATGGATCTGAAAACAATGAGTTCCCCTGTGTAAAAGGATCTCCGGCTCTCCAAAGATAATTAGATTACGAAACGGTAATTTGCACCGTTATTATTCTTTAAACGTCTTATTGAGCGTGGAGAGTCCGTGTGGAAGTGGACTCCCTCCAGACACCTGAGACCACACAGTCCACTCAGACCAGGGGCTGTGTTTGAGGCACATTTCCATGGTAACAACACACGGCAGCGAACATCACGACAGATAAATCCGCAAAGATCTGAATGAATTGGTATTGAAGATTCGTTGCTCCGCCACTGGGTGTCGTTATTGGGCAGGGAGGTATACTGTACCGGGGATCTTTCAATTCACTGGACAACGGTTCCTGCTTTAAAACACAGTATGTGAAAATTTGTATGATTAAAAGAAAAGAAAAATCCCTCATGCTTCAATAAAATGATCGATGATATAAAGCATTTTTTATTATTTTTTTAATTTTAAAATATTATAAAACGCTATGAAATAACGCAGTATTCGGCACAAAATTTCAATAAAAGAGGGCTTAGAAAAGTACACGGTGTGGGTTGGAGTGACATCTAGTGGATGAAGAAGCATGTTCTCGACTGAATGAACGATCCATTTTTGTCCAAGAACATAGGACAACAAATGGTTGTTTTCGGTTATTATTGAAGATACTAGAGAAAATACGTTAGTTTACTGTGAGCTAATGATGTCATCAAAGATTATGGACCAATGCCAACGGTCTACTGGCCTAAAAAGGGCCAATTCCACTGACTTAAGTGAAAAATAATTTAGATTTAGCATCTGTAAAATAAACAGAATACAACAAATTATTATGCAAAACAAATCAACTGTTTAACACAGTCACCTAAGTAGTATTAAACATATCTTTTAAAGACCAGAAAAGTGAGTAGAACGTGTTGAACCAAAGCGACACATTGACAGAAGTCCATCTACTTTTCATGCAATTTGATCAATGAGGCAAATTTTGCCGTTGGTTGCTGCAGACGTGAGAAGTCAGACTGACCACATATTAGATCCTGAGATTTAGCGTCAACCAAAGAAAAACCTCTCCTTTTCCAGTTGACTAGCCACACACACAGGGCCTTAAAGCCAAATCATCGTGGAGGGGAGAGCGCCGAGAGATCTCGGTGTCTGCCACTCCGTGCTGCTACATAAAAAGAAGGTGAAGGATGCCGTGTGAGCAATTGGTTCCAATTGACAGAGGATTGGTCATGGTCAGCCTTCTGAGTGGAAATCCACGTGAGAATGTAGCATTTGGACCAGCGAGGGGCACAAGAGGCCAGGAGCACACAATGAGGGCACTCAGAAGAGTCTGGCTGCTGTTTAATTGTGGGCCTCGGATTTAACCCTTCACCAGCTGGTTGCTCATAATAATACATCGAAGTCATCGCAAAAGTTGTCTTTTCAAATGAGTTACATGCGAAGAAGGGAAGAGTGACAGTGAGACAATTGGCAAAAAAAGGTCAACGTCAAATACTTGAAATTCTACATAAAGTGACTTTAAGGACGTCTGCGACCTTTAAGAGGGCGTCCCACCTACAAGCATCCTTGTGACTTTTTCACCAATTAGCCCGGTCCTACTCAGTGAAAGGGAACGGCTGCTTTCATGGTCCCAGCAGGGCCAGCAGGTCAACGCTCAATCAGAGTCTGGTTGGAGAGGTTGTGTGTTTGAACTAACCACCAGTTGACAGGGTGGTGATGGGGGTCAGGAGAGGTGGGGGTGAGGGGGGTGAGTGATTGGTAAGAGTAAGGACTCCTGCCAGGTCTAAAAGAGGAGCCTTTTGTAGCCAGAGGAGTAGCCAGATCAGGCCGGCCTTTCAGCGGCCAGCCGTCCGTCTCCTCCAGACCCACAACAGCTGATGACAAGGTCCCAGCTGCTAATTATCCTGCTGATGCAGAGCCACTGAAGTGGGACTGTCAGAGTGAACGACTGGCCCTTGTGTCAGCAGTGGGACAGATTTGAAGATGGGCGAAGACCTGGGGTTAAAGGAGGTTTTACCAAAAGGGCTGATTTGGTGAAAATCAGCGTCTAGAAAAATCATCTAATTTTCCTGTCAGTTACATTTAACACATAATTAGTCTTTGGTCTTTTTTAGACAATAAGTGCATTGAAGAAATCAATCAAGGACAAGTACAGATGTTTTTTGTTTTTTTTGGGCTCCATATCTTCGTCAGACTCCTCGGTTTATTCTGTTTGTGTAACAGTGTAATGTTACAGTTGATGCTAGAGCATCAACTGCGCAGAGGACAGGATCCCTGCTAGAGCATCAACTGCGCAGAGGACACTGGAGCGTTGCCAGTTGAATTCCATATAAAGTACTCTTTCGATTCAAGTTCCCGGGCTGAAAAACAGACAGGCAAAATCTCTAGACCTCCTCATTTCATACTGTTATAAAATACAGCTGGAATACAGTTTTAAAAAAAATATTTGGTTAGAAAATTGAAAGAGTAGCTTACATGTCGAAATCCGTGGTTTGGCAGAGGAATAGACTTGCACTGAATGCTGATCCACGCAGCATCCAGACAGTGTAATGTCGGGTACTTTGAAATGCAACTGTGAAGACAGATATGAATATGCTAACTGTCGCAGCGAAGTAAAAAAAAAAAAAAATCTGCCTAGTTTTTATACACACATTATTTACACCTCATGACATAAACCATGAATGAAAACCTACTTTGATATAAGCTGTAAGTTCAGTGCAGAGCGGGTCTGTAGGTCCAGGTGTCGGACCTGAAAAAGTGATCCTGCCTTCCATTGTTACCTCCAGAGATTTGGGGAACTTTGGTCCTACAATCCAACAAAGGGAGTAAAATGAATAATAGTAATAATAATAATTAAAAAAAAAAAATTAAGTATACACACTCCAAGCTAATTGGGAAATGCATTTTTAAAATCCGTACCCAGACTCCAGACCAGCAGGTTTTTCTCTTTGGACACGTCCAGTTGTCCAGAGCTCACTTTCATTTCCACAGCTCCCATCTGGTCTCTGCAAAATACACACACAGCTTTAACAAATCATTTCTTATATTTAAGTTTCTTTTATATATATATATAAAATTCAAATCAAGATAGATTTGTTCTTGTTTGTCATTTAACAGTGTGACCTGTGAAACTTCTTTATTCTATTTAAAGTAAGGGCAAAACATACAATAAATTCATCAAAAAAACTGTAAATCAAACTGAAAGAAAGTTTTATGTTATATTAAGAGAGACAAACAGTAGCTCAGATACAGATCGTCCACTGGTGTGAAATCAGATTTCAACCTTGTTTTGTTGTGTACCTGTTAAAGAACGGTACGTGTGCTTCACAGAACTCAAAGCTGTTTTTCACACTTTCATGAAGTTTGAGCGTGGCTGAAACACGCAGGTGGTTTTCTTCCTCTTTTAGTTGATACGATCCCAGGATCGGTGGAACGGGAACCTGTGAACAAAATGATAAAAAAAAAAATTCCAACATTTATTAGCACAGTGTGTTGAAGGATTTAGAAATGTCAGTAGGTTTTGGAAGTCCTTCACCTGAGATGTGTAACTGCACAGCATAAAAGGTTCGAGAGGTGGCGAGAAGGGAAACTTATATGGCCCAGAAAAGGCCGAGCCATCACAGTTATCAACACTGCTGGCTGTCAGGATGCTGGAATCCAGTGAAGTGACACAGGGATGGACCAGGATGTCCTGCAGTGGCGAGCCATTAGGTGGCAGTGTGAGGGTCACCGTCACATTTGGTAGGACGCCCTCCACTTCGCACTTTTAAGAGACAAAGTGAAAATGAATGGTTCAAAGATGACGTTTTCCTTTCACATATTTATAACTGTGGTATTTGCTCACTTTGCACGTCACCGTGCCATACACATCCCAAAGATCCTGCCTGCTCCGCTGACCGTACTGCATGGAACGAACAGTTTCTTTTACTGCTACGTTGACGACGGCTCGACCTTTGTGAAAACCTGTTTTCCAAGCCGGCTGCTTCTGGTTTCCAGCAGGTATGGGGACTGAGGGTGTTGCAGCAGTTGCCACTGTGGGCACGTCCAGGGGTGTGCCCAGAGGACAAACCTGTAGCATTATAGAGGGCAGCATCGCCAGGCGACAGGACAGACCCTCAGTATCAGCTTTACTCCCTGAGCCAAGGAGGAAAGTCTGTAGACCTCTCAAGAGTGTGAGCCCCTGAGAGACAGAAAACAGATTAGCAAGTGGGGGCCGTGGCTCAAGAGGACAGTCCACTAAACACAGACAGGCCAGAATAAGAGGTCCATGAGAGATGGTCAACACGGGCCAAAGTATCCCTTTTCCAGGACCGTCCACGTGCAGTTCCAGGGCCGGTAACCGTGGACGGTGAAGACAGTCATCTCTAAGAGGAACATAGAACTTGTCTGGATCTGAAAGTCCCAGCTCAGTGAGCAGGAGCTGCAGCACAGTGCCTTCCTCGGGCACTTCTACGTAGGTGGAACCTGCCAGGCACTTTGCACGGTACTCCACAGTTGAGAACCTCCTGGTAAACACAAGACATCATGATATAAAATAAGAAATATAACCCGTCATTGTGAAAATTATGTCTGAATGTCTAACAATTTGGTTTCTAACATTCTAAATGACAATGACACCTCAAACACATTCTCACCACTTCTCGTGCAGTGTTCTGTCCGACAATTTTAGTTTAATATGAGAAAAACAAAAGCATTTTGCCCAAATACACCGTTGGTTACTAACTAACTAATCCTTACACCGTGCATAAATTAACAGACTTTAGCGGGACTTGTCTTAATGGAAAATCGCATTACAAACCTTGAGAAGCGTACGGTCGCATTTTCTCCGCTCTGGTGAGAAATAACCCACAAAGCCCGCAGACTCATTCCAACTTCCTTAACTTAACTGTAAGGGGGTCCAAATTTTACGAAAACAATTTCAACCATTGTTATGAGAACATGTTCTCATAAAATCTCTTTCGACTCCACTTTGGGGATGACCATAACTTCCTGTTACCGTGTCATGTGACAGCAACCACCAATCAGCCGACTTCTGCGCCTGCGCACTAACAGACAGCTGTCCCCACCCAGCTGTTTCATACCGGAAGCGGCTGTGCTAACCACTGAGCTGTCAACAAAGGGCAAAACTGGATGAAAAAGGGAATTAGATGAGGGAGTCGGCGGAATTTTCGATTCCGAGTGTCGTCTCCTAGATTTTATTACACTAGACGGTTTGCTCGATCCTAAATATGGCGACAACGGCGCAGCTATTCGAGGTAAAATGAACTGGACTTTGTTAGCTTTAAGGTTAACATGAATGCTAACTATCGCTAACGGGATCTTAACGGTATTGTCAGTATTTATAATGCCTGTCAGATCTTGATGTCCGGTAATTACTGTAGCTATTAATGAGTTACAATCGTACCTCATCAAAACGGGAATGTTATTGAAGTTGCATTTTAATGAGTTATTGAATAAAAATGACAATGTTGTTGTTGTTGTTTCTCTTAACTGTCAAGTCACCGTGTTATTAGTTAATATACTGTAGTGTTGGTGGGGTTATGACCTAATGTTACGTGTATCCCATGGTCTCTAGGAGCCTTTTGATGCAGATGAGTATATTGAAAGGTTGGCATGGAGGACTCCTGGAGGAGGCTCCAAAGGAGGAGCTGAGGCGTTCGACCCAAAGAGGTATTGTAGGAGGGTTTCCTCTTAAATGCAGCTTTAGCTCACATTTGTTTCAAACGGAGAATTTACTCATTAAATTCACCCATTCAGTCATTCATTCACTCACTCAGAGGAATACAAAATATTTATTCGTCTCATTTTAAGCTACCAAAATAGAGCTAACAATATAGTGGTATCATAGTGCATTTGGTTTTATTGTTATTTTTTTATTGTAAGTTTTTCTTCCCTGAAATCATCCATCCAAGACACTCATTTCAATAGTGAAAATATTAAAATATTTTTTTGATGTTTACAATTTTGAAAATGTATATTGAAAAAAGAATAAAGATAAATATAGATTATCTTGCACATAAATTAAGCTCTATGAAAATAATAGCAACAAAGCAACAGTGCTGTTCACCGTGACACTTTGACATTTTCTTCCCTGCACCCAAAAATAAAATGTCTTGTCTACTGTATATGTGCAACAGTGCTGTTCACCGTGACACTTTTTTTTCCAACCTATAACCAGAAATATCTTGTAGCTTTTTATTTTTGCATGTTTTTCACATATCTATACGTAGCTTTTTATTTTTGCATGTTTTTCAAGTCAAAACTTTTTGAGATTGTTCACTTCAAAAAATAAATAAATAAATCCATCAATAATTTAATGTTGCATTGAAAATACTCAGCAGTTGTAAAGTGAGTTCTTCAAATATTGGCGTCGGACTAAAGTAGCTTAAATAGCAAGTTGATAGAACTAAGTTATTAAATTTGATGGTTACATAGTTTCCAAAAAGAGCTTGTTATTGTGTTCAAACTTAGTTATTAAATTTGATGGTTACGTAGTTTCCAATTTAAAAAAAGAGCTTGTTATTGTGTTCAAACTTGTGGACTAGCTTCGTCTCTTAAGTAAAAATCCCTTAACAGTTTAACTGTACTGTAGTTTCCTACCGCCTTATCTGCTTCCTTCGCAACACTGTTGCCACCAACACCTCTTCAGAAGTTCTTAGAAAACAGTCAGAGACAACATATCTGTGGAGGCCACCGTAGTGTGTGAGTCACCAGCCAGGGAATGAGTGTTAAATGGAAGGGATGGGAGATGTCTTTAAGCCTTTGCCAGTGGTGAGGGAATTAGTCAAAAGATTATACACTCATCATTTTGGGATGTTTCCTGCTCTTGTGAAATGCAGTGCTGACTTAGAACATTTCCTACTGCAGCCTTGATGACACTTAAAATGTAGCTGACGAAGCTGCTGCTGCTGCTCAGAGCTTCTTAAGTCTGGGCGCCCAGGAATTAAGAATCTGGTACCATTCTGTAAGTCTGGGGTCAGTGGCACATATTTAACCTTGTGTTCAGCAATTACTCCTGGAAAACTAACAGCAGTCGTGTCGAGGACTTATCGTGTGTTATTTGCATTAGGATGAACGTGTTTCCTTCTCTCTTCTGTGATAGACTGTTGGAAGAGTTTGTGAACCACATCGAGGAGCTGAAGCAACTGGATGAGAAGATTCAGCGGCGGGTGGAGAAGCTTGAGCATCAGTGTCACCGCGAGGCCAAGGAATTTGCTCACAAAGTGCAAGACTTGCAAAGAAGCAATCAGGTGTGATCAGATAAAAAACTCTGATGTCCCTGAGTATTTAAATATGTCCGATTTTGTTTAGATCTGAACCTGAAATGTTGCTGTTCTGCATGAATGCAGGTGGCCTTCCAACATTTCCAAGAGCTGGATGATCACATCAGTTATGTGGCAACCAAGGTGTGTCACCTGGGGGACCAGCTGGAGGGGGTGAACACGCCGCGGCAGAGGGCTGTGGAGGCTCAGCGACTTATGACCTACTTTAACGAGTTCCTGGATGGAGACTTACGCAGCGATGTCTTCAATAACCCAGACAAGGTGAGAACGCTGCACACTCTGCTTTCACTCACCGTGGTAGAGATGTGTGTGCGAGACCACCGACAAAGACTCCTGCTGTGATATTGCTGAAGGCAAGAAAGAACAGGATTAGGAGGTAAACCATCCATATTAATTTGTCAAGTTTATCCCTTCAGTTGGATCCCTTGGCTAATTTGGATTAATAAACTGTCATTTGCTGCCTGACAATAACTGGGTGATCGACTCACACGGATGTCAACATGCTCGTGTCAACCCTAATTGCATTTGCTGTAGTTTGTCTCGGAGCGATGATTTGGTGGCTCATCAGTTTTGCAGCAAAAGGGAGCGTGAGGCCCTGATTATTCATGTAAAACGGGGAGAAAAAATACAAACACCGTATGAGGAAGTGACTTTCTCAATATACTGGATATATGTCAAGAAACAATATATAATATATATGAGCATATGACTCATTTCAAGTGGCTATATAAATAGACACACAGCAGTGAATTAAAAACACAGCAACGGGCTACACGGCTGAACAGAAAGTGATGGAACACGAGTGGGGTGCAACGTTGAAGGGTCGCCGAGCAGAACGGATATGTTGAAGAACTAAGAACTAATTACAAATCAATTGATTTCTTTAGGATGTGTTTATAAATGTTTTAGTTCAATAATGTTGACGTGTGTTCGTCTCATCTACGGCTGTCAGGGTTTTATAGGTGTACGGAGGGCAGACACGTCACCAAACTTTACACCACCGTCGATAACAAAACACCTATCAAACGGTTTCAGTTAGAACGCAGTTGTGGTTGAATGTAATCAGAGAAGTCCTTCGACCCAAAGGATCATCATTTAAGGCAGACAGAGCAGCAACTCTCAGGGTCAATCCCGGAGATGAAAGACGGAGATGAAGCTCGTTTTCCAGAAATATGTGGCACCATTCCTTTTTTTTTTTCAAGCATACCTCCAGACAAGAGGGAAGAAGGGAAGCTGCAAGTGAATGGCTAAAGGGGGTGGCTCTGCTAATCCTTCTGAAAGGGAGGGCTGGGCCGCCAGCGTGGAGACAAGTGCTGCTAAACCCTGACTGCAGGGAGACGGCTACATTACTTACATGGGATTTAGCTAATCTTAGCTGGGGGACAGATACTTAGAAAACCTTCACCGAGCAGAAAGGCTGGATCCTCCTCACGGGAGCAGGGTAATAATGTTAGCTGAGGCAGGCATCTGCAGGAACAGAGGAGTTGCGGACGGTGGCCCTTCGTAGGTCTGGGGCTTTTTCATCCAGCTTTATTCAGGGAAGGGGCCGGGGAGAAGACGAGGGAGGGGTGAGGGGGGCGAGGGGTTCTCAACAGAGCGCCCTCTCTTTTTTTTTGACAGATATCCCTAACCATAAAGATTACTGAAGGTGATTTAGGCTCATGTGGGATTAGAGCCCATTCAGAAAAGCTATGCCAATAAAGAGTTGGATATGCTGCTAAGTCAGAAACGCCGCCGCTCAGATCTGTTGCTGCTGCTGCTGCTGCTGCTGATGCTCCACAGAGCAGTGTCTGTGTTCAATGTGGGGAGGGAACGGAGGTGCCGCCTAAAGGTGGCGCTGCCCAAACTGGACATCCACCTCTTGTTCTGCTGTACCTTTTTCTTCTCCCTTGACATCTCTGTCTGACACACACACACACACACACACACACCTGCTGACTGTCTTGTCCTCCTCCTTCAGATAAAGGAGGCTGCTGACATCATCCAGAAGCTGCACCTCATCGCCCAGGAGCTGCCCTTCGACAGGTGAGTCCGGCATCCTGGAGGCAGCGACAAATGAAAACACCGTCAGACAAGGACAGGGTGGAGTGTCAGTGGTGTGAGCTACTCTACAGTCTGCTGGTGTAACAAACTTGTTTGTTTTTCACAGGTTTGCAGATGTCAAGGCAAAAATTGCAAGTAAGTTTGTGAGAAAACCTGTTTTGACTTTTATCTGAAACACAAAGTCGGCATGAGATCCTTCTACAAAACTCTTCTTTTCTCTGTCCAGGTAAATACCACGACCTGGAGCGTCAGCTAATCCAGGAGTTCACCGCTGCCCAGCGCAGGGGTGAGATCGGACGAATGCGAGAAGTTGCAGCCGTTTTATTACATTTTAAGGTGACTGTGTGACTGTGACGTATTTTCATGTACCTGCATTCGATATAACACTGAAAATGTAAAAGTATTGGATGCTGTTTTCTAACTGAAATGAAGTTGTCTTTTGTTCCTACTCTCACAGGGCTATGCACATTGTGTGGACGTTTATATCAAACAGTGTCAGGAAGTGAGTTTGGAAAAATCCCTCCTGTTTTTCATATTTCACATTATGCCACAGAGTAATATCCAGTCTCTTCATTTTGTCTCTAGGGGGCGTACCTTAGGAATGATGTGTTTGAGGACACGGCCGTCCTCTGTCAGAAGGTCAACAAGCAGGTGGGCGAGGTCTTCAGTAGCCCGGAGACAATCATGGCCAAACTCATCCAGAACATCTTTGAATATAAATTACAGGTAATGTTGCCGTTTGTGATCTTCAATGAAACGTCAACGTTGGAATGAAACAGGTGGAGCTTCATGGTGTTCCTACTGTGTCGTCTCCTCAGGCTCACATTAAAGGAAAACTGGACGAAACTCGACACTCGGATGTTGAGCAGTACCTCAAGAACCTGTATGAACTGTACACCAGGTGAATAAAGTGTTACCATGGACTGTGCTGACTGTCAGCAGAGAATCTCCCAGTGCTTACTATTTTTAAAAAATACATTGTTATTTACATATTTTCCAGGACTACAGCGTTAGCGACTAAGCTAGCAGAGTTCAACCTGGGGTCAGACAAGCACACTTTTCTGTCTAAGCTGATAAAGAGCATCTTCTCCTCCTACCTGGAAAGTTACGTGGAAATGGAGAGAGAATACCTTCGTACCCGCGGTGCCATGATTCTGCAGCGCTACTACGACTCCAAAAACCACCAGAAACGACCCATAGGCACCGGCAGGTCGGGCGCTGGTTGTCACTTTAGTCGTGTCATGTAAGAAAATGTAAAATAAAACACAAGTTAGAGCGTAATCTAACGTGTTTCCACAGCATTCAAGATCTGAAGGAGCGAATCAGACAGAAAACCAACCTCGCCCTCGGTCCAAGCATCGACACTCACGGGGAGACCTTTCTGTCCCCTGAGCTCGTGGTCAACCTGCTGCAGGAGACCCGACATGCCTTCGAGCGATGCCACAGGGTGAGGCCACGCTGATGAGTTTGGTGTGAAGATCTGAGAAGTTGTCCAACTGCTTCCAAAGATGAACGTCTCATTATTTTCTGTTTCTGTTCGGGGCACGGGGTCCCACAGCTTTCAGATCCCTCCGACCTGCCCAAGAACGCCTTCTCCATTTTCCTGCTGCTGGTTGACCATCTGTGCGTGGAACACATCGACTACGCTCTGGAGATTGGTCTGGCAGGTAATGTAACCTGGAGTCAACAAAACTCTGTCACTGATTTGCAGAATCTGAACGCATAAAAAAAATTGAATTGATTAAAATCTGTCATTCGTTCCACAATGGGGAATTTCAGCGTGAGTTTTTAGCAACACAGACATACAGCCACAGGAGGCGCTACAACCCACACAGACATACAGCCACAGGAGGCGCTGTTAAGTATGTGGTTTCTCTGGGGAACCCAGGACCTTCCTCTACATTATAGAACCACCCGGGGGGGCAAACAGTTTGTACAATTTATAATTCCAGGCTAAAGTGATCTACCCACATCAAAAACACCAAAATATATTTACTAATATAAACTCAACATATTTTATATACACACTATATTTTTGGGTACTGATTAAATGCATGTAGCTCTATGGCATAAAATATTTTAGTTCTTATAGTATATGTTCACTACTGCACACTATAGGAACATTTTATTTGCTGGTGATCAACCAGAACTGCAGTCTACTGGTAGATGCTGAAATACACTCTGAGCATCATTGACATAAGATTTCCAGTCACATAGTAACAAGTGATGTCACTGCTGTTACTGTGCCCTAAAGCATTGTTTCCGAAAGACTGGGTCACGACCCTCAGGTGGGGCCCAAGAGATATTTTTTGGGTTGCCTCGCTTAACAACGGTACATTTGTTCTGTCAGAAACACGGTGTCATCGATATGTTTTTTATTTAAAAGTGAGGGAACTTTTTCAGTGATGTAGGACTTCACGACACATGAACCAAGATGATGTTTTTCCACACACACCCAAATATGAACTTTCAAGACACCCCTCCCCCCCCACATGAGTGTCATCACACAAGTGCGTCTGTGACTGTCACTCAGGACTAAAGTACCCTCCTGTCCTCTCTCTGATCTACAGCTATTCCCTCCTCTGATGCCAAGAACGCAAATCTTTACTTCCTGGATGTGGTTCAACAGGCCAACTCCATCTTCCACTTGTTTGACAAACAGTTTAATGACCAGCTCATGCCTCTTATAAGGTCAGAGACGTACAGTGTTTGCTTCACACTAATTATAATATCCATATCCAACCCCTCCTGACTCGCGCTCAAATTATTCCCGCAGCTCTTCTCCAAAGTTGGCAGAGTGCCTTCACAAGAAGAAAGAGGTGATAGAACAGATGGAAGTGAAACTGGACACAGGAATTGACAGGTCAGTATGAAGCAGTCGGCAAATCACCGTCGTCTAACACATGTATATTATGGCTAAAAAACATCAGTTGAGGCTTCTGTTAATTATGTACGGCAGAGAATTAAGGTCACGTTAAGAAAAAAAAATCAAGATTAAAGTCGTTAATTTGAAGTGGAAACGTTACGAGAACAGATTAATAGCTTCTCAAGAAAAAAAAGGGTAGAATTTTAGAAAAGTTGTAAATTTATGAGAAAAAATGTCAAAACTTTAGAGGGAAAAAGTCATACATTTATAAGAATAAAATCAGAATATTAGTATAAGTGTGTCATCCCAAGTGTCGAGCTTTGTCTAAGGTAAACCCCATTTAATCAAATCAAATGTGGTGTGATTTCGTACAGTCACAATGAAATTATGAGTTTGTTCTAAAGTAATGACTTTTTTTACTTTTATTTCCTCCTAAATTCACTACTTCAATGTTGTGAAAAAATAAAAATCTCAACACAGCCCTAATTCTCCGTCGTAATTCTGAGCCACTCTTGTGTTTAATTGAATGATTCTTTTGTGTCCACTCAGGACACTGAACTGCATGGTGGGACAAATGAAGCACATCTTGGCCACAGAGCAGAGGAAGACTGACTTCAGGCCTGAGGATGAAAACAACGTCATGATCCAATACACTGCAGTAAGAAATGGGAAACGCACATCTATACGGCCCGTCCTCACGTTGTGCCTTTTCTTAACATTTTCTCCCCCCTGTACTCCTCCCCCCCTCCCCGTTCCGTCCCGACCGCAGGCCTGCTCCAAAGTCTGCGCCTATGTCAGTCGGCAGGTGGAGCACGTGCGGAAGTCCATGGATGGGAAGAATGTGGACACGGTGCTGACGGAGCTGGGCGTGCGTTTCCACAGACTCATCCACGAGCACCTACAGCAGTACAGCTACAGCTCAATGGGAGGCATGCTGGCCATCTGTGATGTGGCTGAATACCGAAAATGCGCCAAGGACTTCAGGGTGAGTGAAGGGGCAGAGGTCCAGCATGCACTGCTCCGAGGGCAAAACATGACTCTTCCTACGAAGACACTTCCTGAGGTTCATTAAATAAAATGCTCGTGCTTGTTGAAGTGAAAACTGTGAAAGAAAATATTTATGGCTGGCGTCGTTTATTTAGCTTTAAGTCAAAGTCTCTGGAAAATATAAAGATGTCAGATTATATTGTTAGAGTTCAATGTGATGTTGAGTTAATTTGGAATTAAACATTATGTCATTTAGTTTTCTGTGTCAGTATATGACACAGAAAACGTCATTACGATGTACAACTGGTTTCCACAGTAACTAGTTGCCGAGCGAATGAAAATCTGGTCACGTGGCTCTATACACTTTTTGGGAACTATTTGTCCTTCATTATGTCTCCCAGGCGTATGTCAGTCTGATGGTGTACCAGATTGTCATGTTACCACTGTGTTATCGTAGGCAAGGTACTTATTTACACTATGTGAATTTCGACTTAGAAACTGACGTTGTAGGAAGGGAACCCTGGGGTTAGGTCAAGGACCCTCGTTGCATGTATTCAACATGAAGGCCTAAAGGTTAGCTAAGAAGTAAAATCAGATTTAATAAAGTAAGCGCACAAAAAATGACTTGTTCCCCAAGTTATGGATAAAAAATAAGGTGAAAATAAATGTACCTGTACCTTTTTCTCAGTGACATCTAAATGAACAGGAGACTGGAATGATTCTCTCTCCCTCCCTCTCAGGTCCCTCTGGTGCTGCAGCTCTTCGACACACTCCACGCCCTCTGTAACCTCCTGGTGGTCGCTCCTGACAACCTGAAGCAGGTCTGCTCCGGGGAGCAGCTCACCAACCTGGACCGCAACCTCCTGCACGCCTTCGTCCAGCTCAGAGTGGACTACCGCTCGGCCAGGCTGGGTCGACACTTCAGTTAGTGACGTGTGTCCAACACTCGGCCCCTACACCCCCTACATCCGTCCAACTCAGCCCAAACCCCCCCCCCCCCCCCCCCCCGCCACCCCCCGCCCCGCTTTTATGAGAACGATGCACCTTGTTTGTCTGGCCCCAGCAAACGGACTGAACTGGGAGGACGTCACGGAGACAGAGGTCACTGACGATGGGAAACGTGCATTTTAGCAAATTATTTCTCCAACTTGAAGACATTTAAGTAACTGTTGACTTAGATGATTTCATTGTTGTTTTTGTTTTAATACTAATCAATTCAATCTACATGGCTGAAAATCCTGACCTATAATATGTCAAATGGACTACAGTGAAATCTGTGCTAATGAGAAAAAAAAAAGATTGATTGTGCCAAAAAAAAAATTACTAATATCTGTGCTAATGAGAAAAAAAAAGAAACTTTTGATTGTGCCAAAAAAAAAATTACTAAAGTTTGTGGCTGCAATTGTGCACAAAATAGACACTGGAGGTGCTGTAGAGGGAGACGTCAGCAGCACCGTGAATGGGGACGGTTTCTGTTCGTAATGAACTCCAGACGTCAGAGATGTAAAGTTCTCTGGGTGAGAAGAGGGGACACACGACCGTCTCCTTGACCTCGCCACTCTCACCACGAAGCAGAGGTCACGAGGTCGTCCCAGACAACTGTGATCTGAACTCTCGCAGGTCGGAGAGAGAGAGAGAGAGAGAGAGAGAGAGAGAGAGACCCTCTGTAGGGCCGGGTGGTCATTTCTTAGGCTCAGATGACCGCTGTGGCGGGTCACTGACTGTGGCGCTGTAATTGCGCAGATCAACACTGGGTTCATCCAACAGCACTCACCGTCCAGAGGCGTCGGTTGAGTGTCCTGGTCAGGAGACATTCAAATGTTGAGCCTTTTGCTGATTAGAGAAACAAACTAGAGAAGGGACGTCTTCACACAGGGCTTTGATGGAGGTTCACAGTTCACTGTCTGTTGCACTGATAAAGATGACGGACAGTGACACCAGTGCCTGAAACTGTCCCATATGCAAAGCTGCTCCCGCTGTGCTGCTGTTGACCTTCATTAGTGACTCATTAAAGAAAACGATGTTGCATTTTAACAGTTTCCCTTCTCTTCGTAAACCTTTGATTCGTCATCGTCACCGACTCTGCCTTCGTCCAGACGCAACTCATCCAGTATTCTTCTGAATTCTTTTGTTTTTTGGCCAACTTTTATTTTGCCACCAAGTTCTTTCTCCGACTTCGGGAAGTGAGCGGAGCCCGTGGGGATTAGATACGAACGAGTCGATGAATTGTGTGCCGTAGTCACCGACCGAGGGCGAGCCGTGGAGATAGAGACGGCTGAGAGCTCGGTTCCAGCTGCGGCTGGTTAGCGTTGTGTAGAAGGTACACACGGCGCGGCGCGAGTTCAAACAAGGTAATTAATTAGGTTAATATTAATATTATCAATGCCACATAAAATTCAATTCTCTCCGCCCTAATCACAACTGGATAGCTTGTAAAAATTATTTTGTTAGGCCCTGATGCAAACACTGGGTCTTCTCCAAACATTTGACAACTATTTGTTTTCGCACTGATTAATGTACGTGGCGCGGGGAGAGGTTGGCGGAGCCAAGCTGGGCCGGGGACGATAACTGGCGTGGAGACGGAGGCAGAGGCGCAGCCTGGCCCCGGGGACGCCTGACATAGACAGAGGGAGGAGGGGCCGGGGTGTGTTTTTAGTGGTGGGTGTTTGAGCAGGTGGAGCAGATTAGTAACACTGTCAACACTGGGGAGCTGGATAAGACTGTCCTCTCTTACTCGTCAGTTTGAGCAGCTCTCTCACACACACACACACACACATTCAGACACGTAAAGACAGCACGGCACAAACAGGACAGGAAGAAGAAAAGTTCTCCTGGACTTGTTTCTCACACTCTCGCAGCAAAATGTGTCCTTTACTGTCCCTATGAAGTTGTCCTAAATGGACCACGTCCTCCATGGAAACCAACAGCTGTCAATCATCCGTGGAACCTCGAGATATGAGCGTCTCGACGTACGAGTATTCTGAGATACGAGCCACTTTTTGCTTCGAGATACGAGTAAAGACACAGACGACGACGACGCACTCGGAGCAGACCGCGCCGCCGAAGTCAGACGATTCCGACCTCTGTCTTAAAACACAGCAACTTTCCAACTAGTTTTATTTTCATTCTAAAGTCATGAGACTTAACCTTTTTAATCTTTGTCTTTTGTTTTTGCTCTGATTCTCCTCCAAACTAATATGATTTAAAAACATGAATATTCAAGATTCAGGGCGTAGGCAGTACACGGACATAAACAGGAGAGAGGTCAAGTTTTGCGCATCGATACGTAGGATTATGTTGGAGTAGTACCAGTAGTAATACTGCGTGTCTCATCATGGCCGTCCTGCTTCATCACGTTCAAAGACAAGTAGAGTCAAAATAAACATTTCAGTGACATGAACCCTGACTTCCTGTCATGGTTCGCATGGTCGTCCCTCTCTGACCAATCATCCGTCCACCGTCCCTGTCTGTCCACACTCACAGGACAATTATCTGGTCCTTTTAATATCCCATAAATCCTTGCTCCATCACGTCGCCGCTACCACAAATAGGCCGTCCCTCCCTCCGGCTCCTGGAGCGCTGACAATACAGCATTACAGCAGTCGATCCATGTCAACAACAGCAGCTTTGCTTAATTCCAGCTGAACACGTTTAAACTAAATCTTCACTTAATGATGCTTAATGATTGGCTCGTCATTATAACGCGGCCTGCTATTAGTTTCAGTGCTTTATTTTATAGGCCGTCGGCAGGAGGTTTTAAGGATCGGAGCGAGCCGGGACATTTACAGTACATGCACGCAGTGTTTTGCGTTGGCATCGTGTTCGTTATCCACCTTAGTTCTTTTGACCAAATGCTAAGGCTAGGCATGGGCAAACTAAGGCCCGGGGGCCAGATGCGGCCCGCCAAACATTTCCAAATTATATAATATATTTATATTATAATTATACTTCTGCCTTCTCCCTGCAATACTCATGTTTCCCCAGTAGATGGCATAGAAAATGATAAAAGCATTTATGCATGACCTTAACATAATGCCATTTATCTTAGTTCACATGAATTTTAGGACGATCGTGTCCCGAGGGTCCAAAAGTTTGCCTACACCTGCTTTAAAGTAACACAGAACAACTGACACTTCCATGAACTCCCACTGGAGGCTCTCTTTAATTACTGAACTGCTATAATGTTGCTGTTGTATAGATTTTGTAAACGCCACCCGGTGGTGAAGTGGTTGCCTTACAGCACATAGAATACCAAATTGTTTTCTGATCTCTTGATTTCCTGACTTCCTGTGTGGATTATCAGCTGATATACTCGCAGGAATTGAAGAAAGACACAAAGAAAGATCCCATTTACAGCACTCAGACCTTGTTCTTCGTCATCTACTGCCACCTAGTTTGAAAAGTATTGATTTATCTGAGTCCTCAGATGCGTCCCACACTCGCTGTCTCCTACCACACTACTCACTGTGCACTTTTTTAAAATTCCCCTCAATTATCCCTGGGCGCTTGGTGATGATGTCATCAACTAGTCCCACTTCTTATATCAGGAAATCAGTCAAGTCATAAAAATATCTCAAGGCAAATACAACAAAATAATATCATCAACATCTCCCACTAAAACTATAATTACATTTTTTAACATGGTTCCAGATCGCAGCATTTGACAAATAAATCATTTTTTGATTTGTTGAAAGTCACTGTTTTGGTGCAACTCGGCCAAGATAAATTGGTATAAAGGGAGAACAGATCTTCAACTGTTAATTTAAAGAAAAATACAGTCACTTGAGGCTGATTTCAATAATCGCTGACATTTTCATCACCTTCTCAGACACTTCTGTCAATGCCAGAGATGTTTTTTGCGACATGGAGCTCAGGAGCTCAGCAGTTTGTCCGTCACCGACCGCCCTGCCAAGTTAAAAAGTCTCCTTAATCACCCAGCTCCCGGTCAGGAGCTGACGGTCAGTTTGAACTTCAGCACGTCCGTGTGAATTCACAGAGTCGCCGTCGTGTAATTGACGGATTACACGTTTGCATCAGTGAGCAGTCAACGCCGCGGAACAAAAGAAGTGAGCGGCGATTGTACGTGGAAAAGAGGGTTGTCATTTCCAGAAGCACTCGTCAGGACCGGGGGAACCGGTCCAGGCTCTCTGATATGATGCAGATGTTGCCCCGGCATTGAACTCCTGCCCATATGTTAGCGAGGCCAAAATGGCACAGGTGCTGCGCCACCTCCAGTCTTTGGCAGCCGGGAGCTGAACTGAGCAGGATGTGAACGCTGCCAACTCTTCTCCTCGCTCACCTTTCCTTGTTATATTCTAACTCTCCCCTCGTTCCAGATAAAATCATATTATCCCATATTTCTTTAACAATGTCAACACATATATTTATATGTATGTCTCTTCTTACTCCCCCCTCACCCTCTGACACCTTGTCTCCTGTGGAAAGACTGTTTCTTTTACAATATCAACACATATTTATATATATGTCTCTTCTTTCCCCCCTCACCCTCCGACACCTTGTCTCCTGTGGAAAGACTGTGATTCTCGTGTCACTGTGGAGTTTTTTTTTCCAGTGCTCGCTCTTGGCCCGGTGCCTGGGCGTTGCTCTCTCTTGGCTGGGTTTGTCTGGTTGACTGCTCCGCAGGAACAGACTGGCACTCTAGCTGAGGGCTCCAGGGTCCGCATACACAATCCACTAAACACGTCTCTGTGTGGAGGCTGCGCTTCACCTCAAACAGGACTCTTGGTTTTTCATATCGTACGTCCTACACCTGAGACCTGACGTTTTACTGTTGGTAACCTTACATTAACGACTAACGGTCGGGGAGTTGATACAGATCACTTCATACTGATACGTCAACACACTCTCTTCCAATATACAACAAATATATAAACGTATTTTCAAAGAGTTCAGTGTGATCTAGAATCTGGATAATATTTTTGTAATTTAGTTCAATACACAACAGGTGAATATACACAATTTGAAATTAAAATTAAAAATATTATTATGAAATTTGTATTGACATATTAATTCCATCAATGTTGGCACAGAAGCAAAGTGAAAGTGACGTTCAGGAGGAGGCCTCGTTCACAGACTCCACCCGTGACCAAATATGAAAATTGCCATAAAAAAAAGACACTAATCAAGATCAGCACAGAGACGTCAAGGCTTGACCTCGATGACCTTTATATTTTTTTTTATTCCATTCCCTCTGCTACGTCTTCTCTATAAAAATGTTTGTTTAAAACAAGTAAAATTCACTTTTTCACTACGTTGAATTCCCT